AAACGTTTTTTGGAAATGTTTTGCAAATGTATTAAAAATAAAAAACAGAAATACCTTATTTACATAAGTATTCAGACCCTTTGCTATGAGACTCGAAATTGAGCTCAGGTGCATCCTGTTTCCATTGATCATCCTTGATGTTTCTACAACTGGAGTCCACCTGTGGTAAATCCAATTGATTGGATATGATTTGGAAATGCACACACATGTATATATAAGGTCCCACAGTTGACAGTGCATGTCAGAGCAAAAACCAAGCCATGAGGTCGAAGGAATTGTCCATAGAGCTCTGAGACAGGATTGTGTCGAGGCACAGATCTGGGGAAGGGTACCAAAAAATGTCTGCAGCATTGAAGGTCCCCAAGAACACAGTGGCTTCCATCATTCTTAAATGGAAGAAGTTTGGAACCACCAAGACTCTTCCTAGAGCTGGCCACCCGGCCAAACTGAGCAATCGGGGGAGAAGGGCCTTGGTCAGGGAGGTGACCAAGAACCCGATGGTCAGTCTGACAGAGCTCTAGAGTTCCTCTGTGGAGATGGGAGAACCTTCCAGAAGGACAACCATCTCTGCAGCACTCCACCAATCAGGCCTTTATGGTAGAGTGGCCAGACGGAAGCTACTCCTCAGTAAAAGGCACATGACAGCCCGCTTGGAGTTTGCCAAAAGGCACCTAAAGACTCTCAGACCATGAGAAACAAGATTCTCTGGTCTGATGAAACCAAGATTGAACTATTTGGCCTGAATGCCAAGCGTCACAGGAAACCTGGCACCATCCCTATGGTGAAGCATGGTGGTGGTAGCATCATGCCGTGGGGATGTTTTTCAGCGGCAGGGACTGGGAGACTAGTCAGGATCGAGGCAAAGATGAACGGAGCAAAGTACAGAGAGATCCTTGATGAAAACCTGCTCCAGAGCGCTCAGGACCTCAGACTGGGGTGAAGGTTCACCTTTCAACAGGACAACGCAGGAGTGGCTTCGAGACATGTCTCTGAATATCCTTGAGTGGGCCAGCCAGAGGCCGGACCTGAACCCTATCGAACATCTCTGGAGAGACCTGAAAATAGCTGTGCAGCAACGCACCCCATCCAACCTGACAGAGCTTGAGAGGATCTGCAGAGAAGGATGGGAGAAACTCCCCAAATACAGGTGTGCCACGCTTGTAGTGTCATTCCCAAGAAGACACAAGGCTGTAATCGCTGCCAAAGGTGCTTCAACAAAGTACTGAGTAAAGGGTCTGAATACTTATGTAAATTGAATATTTCTGTTTTTATTAGTAATAAATTAGCAAAAATTTCGAATGTCCTGATTTTGCTTTGTCATTATGGGGTATAGTGTTCTAGATTGATGAGTGGAAAAAAACAATTGAATACATTTTAGAATAAGGCTGTAACCTAACAAAATGTGGAAAAACTCAAGGGGTCTGAATACTTTCCGAAGGCACTGTATTTTAAATATATAAACATAGATGTAGAAATTATTGAAAACGGCCAGTTTTGCAATATGTCCATATATTTTGGTGTACATATCAGGCTTAAAAATATATTTAGCAGTGGAGGCTGGTGGGAGGAGCTATAGGAGGATGGGCTCATTTTGATGGCTGGAATGGAATTAAAGGAATGGAGTCAAATGTGGTTTCCATATGTTTGATGTGTTTGATACCATTCCATTAATTGCATTCCAGACATAATAATGAGCCCGTCCTCCTATAGCTCCTCCCACCAGCCTCCTCTGCTATTTAGATATCTGTAATTTACATATGTAAATACATGTACATCCATGTTAAAATATATGTAAATATATGATTTTTCCATTTGGGTGTAGTGACATTTTTTATCTGAGGTACTTTACTCGCATAAAAAATTTGGATGGAAACACAGGAGGCTGCCGAGGGGAGAACGGCTCATAATAATGGCTGGAATGGAGCATTGCGTCCGCTCCAGCCATTACGAGCCCGTTCTCCCCAATTAAGGTGCTACCAAATCCTGTGGATGGAAACCTAGTTATAGATGGGAAATATTCTAAGCGTGCACATCAATCGACCAAATACCACTAATTGATCACAGGTGCATATCATCACAGTTGTGTTCACTTGGGCGCAATGTTCAGGTAGAAATGTAGGCTGTAATGTAGATTAGACAGCTGCCTCTCATGTAGAATAGGGAATCATGTCAGCGCCGTACAATTCATTTCTATCTGCATCGTTCTGAACGTTGCCCCCTCCTGAACGTGACGCGCGTCTTTTGATTACAGACACCTGTGAATGGGAGGTCTGAAGTCTGATTGGTCGGTAATCATATTCCGCCTCTGGCGACAGTGAGTGAAGGAAACGCTTGCGGCACACTGATGTGGTGGGCTGGTGTGTTTGTGAAACGCGATTTTAATCCGATGGCATGGAACGCGGAAGGGCAGCATTTATCTTTAAGATGTTTATGGCTGTTTGTGGTGGTTTTGAACTCCTTTGGTCAGTGTAATGCTTTAACACAAACGAGGGCATCAATGTCCTCCATCGTCCTGGGACCCCATTTCAAGGGGAATATTAACAATGGTAAAGCAGAGCAGTCTACAGGTGCTGTGCGATTTGGAAGGCTTATACTTGGACGTAATGTCAAACCAAGAAATGAGAGTTTTGCTACTGATGAACGTGCTGTCTCTAAAGTCATATCATCCAATGGCTCTCTGGATGATGACGCTGATTACCAGTCTGACATGGGTATGTTTGACTTATCGCCATTTTAAAACTGAAGGTCCTTTTTGCTTCCATTTGTACCCCATGTTTATCAGTTTGACTTAGTTCCAAACAATTTGTCATAATTAGTTACACCTGCCAGTGTAAATGGAAGCGTTTGTTCCAAACAATGCCTTGAAGTACTCTTACTCCCATGAACGCTTTAGTAGCCTAGCCCTACAACCAATGTTAAGAATTGATTACCCATCGGTGTTTTAATACTTAAGTGGTCTTCTCCTTTTTAAAGGTTGGGAATCTAAGCAGCTGGAAGGACAAGTTTATGGCACAGCTAGCCCAAATAGTCCAGTGGTGGCAAGTCTCTTGCAGATGGAACCAAGGGTTGAATGTGTTGGGGACTCCATGAAACTAACGGTCCATGACACAGGCGCTACACCAGGCGCTCTCTTTTTTGTGGACCGAGGCAAGTATCAAGCTGTTTATCCTGGTACTCCAAATTGAGTCATTTGAAAGCTGTACAAGTTAGATGTAATTCCTTGGCTACTGGTGATCTTATTTCCGTTCTGTTACAATGTTTTTTCAGGAAATCATCAGTCTCCCCTGCCTTTGTCACAGTTGCCCTCAAGCTGTGGTCATTCCATGCGCACCACTCGGAGGGATTGGATTTTCATTGCAATCTATAATGGCTGTTACGTCACGCGGGAGGTGGGAAATCATTCAATTTGTTCCTGTTTTATTGGGAATTTTAACATTTGCTAAGATGAGTAACTTTAAATTATCTTACAGGATGATAAATATGTTCTGCCTTTGCGTTGGTGGGGGTTGCCAATGAAAATGTCCTGCCCTGCCAAAAAGCCCTCTAAACCCAACCCTCCTACTGTTTCCTGCTACCCTGAGGGCATGGTGGTGAAAATGGAAGGTGGCACCTCTGCCGAGGAGCTCAGAGTCAAGTGTAAGTACAGTCGTGGTCAAAAGTTGAGAATGACAAGTGTTGGTCTTCAAAGTTTGCTGCTTCAGTGTTTTTAGATATTTTTGTCAGATGTTACTGAAGTATAATTAGAAGCATTCCATAAGTGTCAAAGGCTTTCATTGACATTTACATTAAGTTTATGCAAAGAGTCAATATTTGCAGTGTTGACCCTTTTTCAAGACCTCTGCAATCTGCCCTGGCATGCTGTCAATTAACTTCTGGGCCACATCCTGACTGATTGCAGCCCATTCTTGCATAATCAATGCTTGGAGTTTGTCAGAGTTTGAGGGGTTTTGTTTGTCCACCTGCCTCTTGAGGATTGACCACATTCTCAATGGGATTATGGTCTGGGGAGTTTCCTGGCCATGGACCCAACATTTCAATGTTTTGTCCCTGAGCCACTTAGTTATCACTTTTGCCTTATGGCAAGGCGCTCCATCATGCTGGAAAAGGCATTGTCACCAAACTGTTCTTGGATGGTTAGTTGTTTCGGAGGATGTGTTGGTACCATTCTTTATTCATGGCTGTGTTCTGCAAAATTGTGAGTGAGCCCACTCCCTTGGCTGAGAAGCAACCCCATACATGAATGGTTTCAGGATGCTTTACTGTTGGCATGACACAGGACTGATGGTAGCGCTCCCCTTGTCTTCTCCGGACAAGGTGTTTTCCGGATGCCCCAAACAATCGGAAAGGGATTCTGAGAAAATTGACTTTATCCCAGTCCTCAGCAGTCCAATCCCTGTATCTTTTGCGGAATATCAGTCTGTCCCTGATGTTTTTTCTGGAGAGAAGTGGCTTCCTTACTGCCCTTGACACCAGGCCAACCTCCAAAAGTCTTTGCCTCACTGTGCGTGCAGATACACTCACACCTGCCTGCTGCCATTCCTGCGCAAGCTCGGCACTGGTGGTGCCCCGATCCCGCAGCTGAATCAACTTTAGGAGACGGTCCTGGAGCTTGCTGGACTTTCTTGGGCGCCCTGAAGCCACCTTCACAACAATTGAACCGCTCTCCTTGAAGTTCTTGATGATCCGATAAATGGTTGATTTTAGGTGCAATATCCTTACCTGTGAAGCCCTTTTTGTGCAAAGCAATGATGACTGCACGTGTTAACAGAGGAAGAACAATGATATGCAAATTGCCATAACTGAGGCAGCAGACTTCGTGAAAATTAATATTTGTGTCATTCTTAACTTTTGACCATGAGTGTAGGTTACATAAGTCCCAATCCTTGCACTTGTTTCCCTCTTGGTATTATGCTGAAGTTTGAGTAAATCATAACTGTATGCATTAAGTTTTGTTTTCTACTCCAATTCTTCTCCCAGTCAAAGGACACTGGCAGCCATTGATGAGCGTTTCGCCCCAGTGTGGCTACAGTGTGGTAGCTCATCTAGAGGCTGTGATCATTTCTGCTCACTATGAACCCTGTGTGGAAACTAAGGTATGGCCATCTGAATTGTCAGTCTTGTGTAAATATTGTCATTGCTGGTTTTGAAGACATGGACGGGAATCAAGGAATTTGACTCAAACGTTTATCTCTTTTATTGCAGGATGGGATGTTCACCCTTGAACTTGCCAGAGAGGGGGAGATTACAGTATCCTGTCCTGGTTCTGTTGAACAGCCTTTCCCTCGCCCCAGTTACCCCCAAAACCCTGTGACTCTTCCTCCTGTCATTGCGCGTCAACAAAGTCCCATGTTTCCTCCTCGGCCTACTCCACCCCCTAAACCCCAGGCTCCACTGCAGCCTTACTACACAAAGCCTGCTGAGAAGCCAAAACCTGCTACTCCGCCTCCTTGGAACCCTCAGTATCACTTTCCCTTCTACCCTCAGCCAGCCGAGCCTGTAACTAGGTCTCCTCCTAAAGACCCCCAGCCTCATTGGTATTCAGAGTCCTTCTACCCTCAGCCAGCCAAGCCTGTAACTAGGTCTCCTCCTAAAGACCCCCAGCCTCATTGGTATTCAGAGTCCTACCCTCAGCCAGCCAAGCCTGTAACTAGCTCTCCTAAAGACCCCCAGCCTCCTTGGTATTCAGAGTCCTTCTACCCTCAGCCAGCCGAGCCTGTAACTAGGTCTCCTCCTAAAGACCCCCAGCCTCCTTGGTATTCAGAGTCCTTCTACCCTCAGCCAGCCAAGCCTGTAACTAGGTCTCCTCCTAAAGACCCCCAGCCTCCTTGGTATTCAGAGTCCTTCTACCCTCAGCCAGCCAAGCCTGTAACTAGGTCTCCTCCTAAAGACCCCCAGCCTCCTTGGTATTCAGAGTCCTTCTACCCTCAGCCAGCCGAGCCTGTAACTAGGTCTCCTCCTAAAGACCCCCAGCCTCCTTGGTATTCAGATTCCTTCGACCCTCAGCCAGCTGAGCCAGTTACTCATCCGCCTGCCACACTTCCCCCTGCAACAGAAGCTCCAAATGGCAAGGTGTACTATCCTTACTACCAATATCCTTATGACCCTCAGCCAGCCAAGCCTGCTACTCATCCTCCTGTGAGTCAAAAGCCTACCCATGTCATGCTTCCCCCTGCTACTGAAAAGCCAACAGCTCCACTGCATCCTTACTACCCAAAACCTGCTACTCTGCCTCCTGGGAACCCTCCGTATTACTTTTCATTCTACCCTCTGCCTGCCAAGCCGGCAACTCCTCCCCCTCAAGTGCATACTCCTGCTACCAAAGTTCCTCAGGGCCATGTGCAGCATCCTTACTACCCACATCCCCTCTATCCACCACATCCCAAGCCTGTAACTGGCTCTCCACCTAAAGACCCTGAAATTGTTTGGGATTCAGATTCCTTTCACCCTCAACCAGCCAAGCCTGCTACTCGTCCTCCTCTGACTCTAAAGCCTGCTACTGAAAAGCCAAAAGCTCCACTGCATCCTTACGACCCACATCCTTACTACCAACATTTCTACCCTCGGCCAGCTAAGCCCATAACAATCCCTCTTAGGCCTGCAACACAAAAACCAGAACAAACCCCATTTGTAGTCCATACCTGGACACCTGCTTCGCCACAATCTAGTCATCCTAGAACTACAAAAGCACCTGAAACTGTGGCTCCTTCTACTCGGCCAGGTGACCCTTATCCACCCCATCCTGGGTATTGTCCTACAATCTGCCCTACTGGTTTCTTTAACTGCTGCCCAATGCCCGTCTCTTTCCATCAGCACCACCACAACCATTTTGGCCCTGTAGCATCCAAGGATGGTGTTATCATTCCCGATTACCCTTTCAAATATACATCTGACCTGTTCAACTACGCGTCAGTTTCTGGACCTACCCAAGCCACTACAACCCCAGAACCTGTAAAGGTTCAGACTGTTGCCCCCAGTAAAACTTCCTTGACTGGTTTCCATGACTACTGGAGTCGGCATGGAATGAGGTTTTCAACCGCCTTGGCTTCGTATGGCCAAGCACCTAGTGATACCAACAAGCCCTCAGAACCCCAACGTCCAAACCAGTCTCATTTTCAGCCCTACAACCCACAGCCAATGCACCCATATTTTCAAGCACCTTCCAGTGACTCCAACAAGCCGACTGAACAGCAACGACCAATGCAGCCATATCTGCCCTATAACCCACAAAGGCTTATGCATGCATATCCTCTGCCTTACAACCCACAAGGTCCAGTACAGCCACATGGCCAAGCACCTGTTTATTCTAACAAGCCCTTGGAACTTCAGCGACCTGCCAGTGATCCAAGTAAACCATCTGAACCTCAAGTGCTTTCTAGTGGCCCCAACAAGCCCTTAAAACCCCAACCTTCAACGCGGCGGCATTATCCTTTCAGACCGCCTCCAATGTGGCATGACCCAGACGTGTTCTACGCATCCAAGCCACTGATGCAACCAGACCACCACCAAATCCAACTTTCTGAATCTGCAATGCACATGCATGGCAAACTTGAACAATTGACAAGTCCTCAAGAGCAGCCACATAGACCAGTCAAGGAATGGGGTGGCTCCCTTCCCAGTAATTCAGAGGGTATCTCTAGCCTTCAGCAACCAAACCCCTCAAGCCAACAAATGCCTACCCATTACGGCTCATTGCCAATATATTATGCTGGTTCCAAACCATCCTACCCCCAGAAACCTGAAGCCAAGCCTTCTGGTAAACCCTCCAGACCTGAATTCCCAGAGTCATTCGAACACTATTGGAAGCCCATTGTGCCACTAGGTTCTAACCAGGGGTTCCATGTCTCTTACCCGGACCAATCTGCTGGAGGTTCTTACCCGGCCCAATCCGCTGGAGGTGAAGACAATGCTGCTAACTAAATGTAAGTCACTTTGACCTCTCTCCATAGTTGACCTAACATTTTTAAGTCTAACTCTTTTAATTGAACAGTAGTTAACATGCATCTGTCTTTTTCAGGCTGCATGACCCGTCCCATCATTCAGATAATGGCACTGATGCCCGCCAGAAGCAGCCATGTTTTTGAGGTTTTCCCAATAAAGTGATAAACTGAAAATTGCGTAACTTTTTCATTTTAGTGTTTGGAATGACTTAACTGCATGTGTTTTAGGAAATATAGGTGCTTCAGGAAATATTTTAGCCAGGTGTGATGGGTAACACTTGTACTGTAAACCAGAATTACTTTTGAAGGCCCGTTTTCCCCATAGCCACTACTGACTGGATTTCAGTACCTTTTCCCAGTCAATGTCACCCACATACAAACTTACTAAATTCTAAACTAATCAGTTTGTTAACATTTTGACAATGGTCACAGAAGCGATTTCAGAATACTGCTGAAAAGCTGGCAACCATCTACCCCTCAAATATGGTTTAAGCCTCCCATCTAGTGGTCATATAACAAAATTAGTTCGGCTATTCATGTGAATGGGTTCAAGTGGTTGTATTGGCCACTGATCTCGACGGAGTCTAAGGGCAACTATATTTGCTATTGAATGTTAACCATTACTCAAATAGCAATTGTTCATAGTGCATCAATTTATATCCTACTGGTTTGAAGCTTTGTAGTATACAGCATTTTGCTGGCATCTCACTCAGACTGCACACTTTTTCACCCATTTATCCTCTAGAATTGTAATCACTCATTTGCACACCTGCAAGTCTTTGACAGTCTAGAGATTGAACTACAGTAACTTTGACCAGTCCCATGCAAATAAAGCTTTTCTGCAGTATTAAGAAATTGAGGTCCAGCACTTATACTTTATTTTTTATTTATTGCTAACAATTGAATTAGTTGTGGGTGTCATGTTTGGTAGAGTTCACACAACTGGTTAGGAGATGTGTATGGGGGTTATTGTGGCTTGTTTCAATGCTGGGTTACGGTAAGACCTATCAGCCAACAAATCCTGCGTTGGCCTGGTTATATATCCACCATATTTGCTGGAATAGTGCTAGAAAGTACGATTATAAAAATAATCTGCGGTAGCACGGTTTACAGTTGAGTCATTGAGTAGTCATTATCCAACGCAATTTACAATTAGCAGTAGTCGGGCTACGAGTCAGGTCGGCAGATTGTGTGTAACGGGCATAACTGTGGTCCTCTGTAGCTCAGCTGGTAGAGCATAGCGTTTGCAGTGCCGGGATAGTGGTGCACCACCCGTATGTATAATGTATGCACGCATTAGTCGTGTTGGATAAAAGCGTCTAATGCACCCCCCCCCCCAAAGTTTACAATATTTTCACCTGATCCTCCCCTAGTACTGTAAAATAAAATGAACACCCTCATAGAATTAACTCAATGTGTATGACCATAACTGTAGCGACCCTGTGGATATAGACTTAAATATATTACATAGAGATGAAAAAATGCTCAACCTCCAGATCAGCACGAGGGGGGAGTTCAAGTACAATTCTTACAAGCTTGTTGGGATGGTAGCTTATTCTTTAGATGTTTGGGGCTGCTGGTGAACCATGACGTGCAGCATAATCAAAGTGACACTGGACTTGCGCACTTGTCTTTAGGGTGTCTATAGCTAGGTTTCCATCGCATTGGCGACAGATTTTCATGTGAATATTATACAATCTTCATAAAAACAATATGCCATTTCAGAGTTTCCTTTAGCAAAATTTTGCACCGGACAACATGACAGGGAAGATTTTAATTTGCTGGACATTTGAGAAAGGTTTATAAACATCCATATGCATTCAGATCCAAAACACCAAGGATGTTGGCCAGATGAGCCACATTTACGTGTCCTTAAAAACAGCCTATAACAAATTACTAAAACACTATTCTTTATGTTTCGATGTGTAGCATATGCAAAACGTTTTAGCCAATTTTTGTTTTTTTTAGGCTACTTTCGTAAAACAATAATTGTCCACGTCAAGGTTCAGCTCTCAGAGATTTGAGCATTACATGTATCAGGCCATTGTATGCAAAGGCCTATAGGCTTAGATGTCCACTGTATGATATTCATATTTTATTATACAGTACCAGTCAAAAGTTTTGAAACCTACTCATTCCAGGGTTTTTCTATATTTCTACAATTTTTTTTTACATTGTAGAATAATAGTGAAGACATCAAAACTATGAAATAACACATGGAATCATGTAGTAACCAAAAAAAGTGTTCAACAAATCAAAATATATTTTAGATTTTAGATTCTTCAAAGTAGCCACCCTTTGCCTTGATGACAGCTTTGCACACTCTTGGCATTCTCTCAACCAGCTTCATGAGGTAGTCACCCGGAATGCATTTCAATTAACAGCTGTGCCTTGTTAAAAGTTAATTTGTGGAATTTCTTTCCTTCTTAATGCATTTGAGCCAATTAATTGTGTTGTGACAAGGTAGGGGTGGTATACAGAAGATAGCCCTATTTGGTAAAATACCAAGTCCATATTATGGCAAGAACAGCTCAAATAAGCAAAGAGAAACGACAGTCCATCATTACTTTAAGACATGAAGGTCAGTCAATACGGAAATTGTCAAGAACTTTGAAAGTTTCTTGAAGTGCAGTCGCAAAAACCATCAAGCGCTATGATGAAACTGGCTCTCATGAGGACCGCCACAGGAAAGGAAGACCCAGAGTTACTTCTGCTGCAGAGGATAAGTTCATTAGAGTTAACTGCACCTCAGATTGCAGCCCAAATAAATGCTTCACAGAGTTCAAATAACAGACACATCTCAACATCAACTGTTCAGAGGAGACTGCGTGAATCAGGCCTTCATGGTCAAATTACTGCAAAGAAACCACTACTAAAGGACACCAATTAGAAGAAGAGACTTGCTTGGGCCAAGAAACACGAGCAATGGACATTAGACCGATGGAAATCTCTCCTTTGGTCTGATGAGTCCAAATTTGAGATTTTTGGTTCCAACCGCCGTGTCTTTGTGAGACGCAGAGTAGGTGAACGGATGATTTCCGTATGTGTGGTTCCCACCGTGAAGCATGGAGGGGGAGGCGTGATGGTATGGGGGTGCTTTGCTGGTGACACTGTCTGTGATTTATTTAGAATTCAAGTCACACTTAGCCAGCATGGCTACCACAGCATTCTGCAGCGATACGCCATCCCATCTGGTTTGCGCTTAGTGGGACTATCATTTGATTTTCAACAGGACAATGACCCAAAACACACCTCCAGGCTGTGTAAGGGCTATCTGACCAATAAGGAGAGTGATGGAGTGCTGCATCAGATGACCTGGCCTCCACAATCACCCGACCTCAAACAAATTGAGATGGTTTGGGATGAGATGGACCGCAGAGTGAAGGAAAAGCAGCCAACAAGTGCTCAGCATATGTGGGAACTCCTTCAAGACTGTTGGAAAAGCATTCCTCATGAAGCTGGTTGAGAGAATGCCAAGAGTGTGCAAAGCTGTCATCAAGGCAAAGGGTGGCTACTTTGAAGAATCTCAAATATAAAATATATTTTGATTTCTTTAACACTTTTTTGGTTACTACATGATTCCATATGTATTATTTCGTAGTTTTTATTCTACAATGTAGAAAATTGTAAAAAAAAGAAAAACCAAACTTTTGACTGGTACTGTATATATATACAGTGGGGAGAACAAGTATTTGATACACTGCCGATTTTGCAGGTTTTCCTACTTACAAAGCATGTAGAGGTCTGTAATTTTTATCATAGGTACACTTCAACTGTGAGAGACGGAATCTAAAACAAAAATCCAGAAAATCACATTGTATGATTTTTAAGTAATAATTTGCATTTTATTGCATGACATAAGTATTTGATCACCTACCAACTAGTAAGAATTCCGTCTCTCACAGACCTCTTAGTTTTTCTTTAAGAAACCCTCCTGTTCTCCACTCATTACCTATATTAACTGCACCTGTTTGAACTCATTACCTGTATAAAAGACACCTGTCCACACACTCAATCAAACAGACTCCAACCTCTCCACAATGGCCAAGACCAGAGAGCTGTGTAAGGACATCAGGGATAAAATTGTAGACCTGCACAAGGCTGGGATGGGCTACAGGACAATAGGCAAGCAGCTTGGTGAGAAGGCAACAACTGTTGGCGCAATTATTAGAAAATGGAAGAAGTTCAAGATGACGGTCAATCACCCTCGGTCTGGGGCTCCATGCAAGATCTCACCTCGTGGGGCATCAATGATCATGAGGAAGGTGAGGGATCAGCCCAGAACTACACGGCAGGACCTGGTCAATGACCTGAAGAGAGCTGGGACCACAGTCTCAAAGAAAACCATTAGTAACACACTACACCGTCATGGATTAAAATCCTGCAGCGCACGCAAGGTCCCCCTGCTCAAGCCAACGCATGTCCAGGCCCGTCTGAAGTTTGCCAATGACCATCTGGATGATCCAGAGGAGGAATGGGAGAAGGTCATGTGGTCTGATGAGACAAAAATAGAGCTTTTTGGTCTAAACTCCACTCGCCGTGTTTGGAGGAAGAAGAAGGATGAGTACAACCCCAAGAACACCATCCCAACTGTGAAGCATGGAGGTGGAGACATCATTCTTTGGGGATGCTTTTCTGCAAAGGGGACAGGACGACTGCACCGTATTGAGGGGAGGATGGATGGGCCATGTATCGCGAGATCTTGGCCAACAACCTCCTTCCCTCAGTAAGAGCATTGAAGATGGGTCGTGGCTGGGTCTTCCAGCATGACAACGACCCGAAACACACAGCCAGGGCAACTAAGGAGTGGTCTCCGTAAGAAGCATCTGAAGGCCCTGGAGTGGCCTAGCCAGTCTCCAGACCTGAACCCAATAGAACATCTTTGGAGGGAGCTGAAAGTCCGTATTGCCCAGCGACAGCCCCGAAACCTGAAGGATCTGGAGAAGGTCTGTATGTAGGAGTGGGTCAAAATCCCTGCTG